TGGCAAAGGAAATTCTGGGAATTGATGTCCAAAGGTCATTGAAACATGGACAGCAAGGGAATTCTGGGAGTCGATGTCCAAAGGTTATTGAAAGATGGCCGGCAAATGAATTCTTGGAGTTGGAGTCGAAAGGTTATTGAAACATGGACAGCAAGGGAATTCTGGGAGTTGGAGTCCACAGGTCATTGAAACATGGCTGGAAAATGAATTCTGGGAGTTGGAGTCCAAAGGTAATTTAAACATGGCCGGCAAGGGATTTCTGGGAGTTGGAGTCCACAGGTCATTGAAACATGGCCGGCAAATGAATTCTGGGAGTTGGAGTACAAAGGTTATTGAATCTTGGCTGGGAAGGGGATTCTGGGAGTCGGAGTCCAAAGGTTATGGAAACATGGCCGGCAAGGTAATTCTGGGAATTGGTGTCCAAAGGTTATTGAAACATGGCCGGCAAGGGAATTCTGGGATTTGGAGTCCACAGGTTATTGAAACTTGGCCGGCAAGAGAATTCTGGGAGTCGGAGTCCAAAGGTTATTGAAACATGGCCAGCAAATGAATTCTGGGAGTTGGAGTCCAAACGTTATTGAAACATGGCCGGCAAGGGAATTCTGGGAGTTGGAGTCCACAGGTTATTGAAACTTGGCCGGCAAGGGAATTCTGGGAGTTGGAGTGCAAAGGTTATTGAAACATGGCCGGCAAGGGAATTCTCGGAGCTGGAGTCCAAAACTTAGTGAAACATGGCTGGCAAAGGAATTCTGGGAGTTGAAGTCCAAACTTTATTGAACCACGGCCGGCAATGGAATTCTGGGAGTTGGAGTCCGGAGCTCATTGAAACATGGCCGGCAAAGGAAATTCTGGGAATTGGTGTCCCAAGGTCATTGAAACATGGCAGGGAGAGGGCTAACACCATGATTGAACAATACATTAGATGCTATGTAAATTATCAATATAAAATTGGGCTTAGTTGTTACCTTTTGCAGAGGTTGCTTCCAATCATGCAGTACATAGCAGCACGGGATTGACTCCATTCCAAATCAACACGGGAATGGATTTTGTCCCGATGCCAGAGTTACCTAGACAACCTCCCTCATCCATGTCCCTGACAGAATGGATGAACTCATTGAAGAAAGGATGGGAAGATACAAAAAAAGCTTTAACCGAAGCTGCAAAAAATTATAAAAAACAGGCGGATAAACATAGATCCCTTCAACCGCCTTTTAAAGTAGGGGACAAAGTATATTTGTCAACCAAGTATCTTGAAACTGCCCAGTAAGAAGCTGGGTCCAAAATTCTTGAGTCCGTTCCCAATTTCAAAGATAATCAATCAGGTCACTGTCCAATTAAGTCTTCCTCGAATATTGGGGAAAATTTATCCAGTATTCCATTGTAGTTTACTAAAACCAGCTACTACATCAATGATAAGACCACCGCCAATCGCTCCCCTTAAACCGTTAATGGTACAGGGGGAAACACATTACGAAATTCAAAAAATTATTGATTCTAGATTACACCGTGGCCGATTGCAATATTTGGTCTTATGGAAACGATACCCGCTCTCAGATGCTAGTTGGGTAGAATTGGGATGTTCATGCTGATCAATTGGTTAACCAATTCCATGAGGATTTTCCCCACAAACCGAAGGGTCCTCGTGGAGGGGGGAGAGGGGGTTAAGGACAATGTGTTCTTTTAGGAGGAGTTTTCAAGGGGGGACACCTGTCAGCTTTAAAATTCAGCTGTCACATTTCATGGAAGGGGGGTTGGAGGAGTTGAAAAGTGCAAGGTTATTCTGTATGTCGCATTAAGAAATTCCAGTTGCAGTTAATTGGTTCTCGTGATTTATGAAGTGTAGAAGTGGGAGGAGAAAAGGGAGGAGAGGTGGATTCTGTGTAATGCGCGAAAATAATTTCACTTTGGGAAATTGCCTTTGACATGCCAGATCTGTTTCTAAATAAATCAATTGGAGAGAAAATGTCTCGGAGTGATTGATATTATGGATACTTTCTGGATGCCTTACAATTGAAACATGGCCGCCTTGGGAATTCTGGGAGCTGAAGTCCAGAGGTTGTAAAGGGGGCCCACCCTGCTTTAGCAGAGCAAGATGTTGGATTTATCCAGAAGTTGTGCCATGATGCACCTGTCGGGACAGGTAGATCCTCCTGAAGATGCCAAGATATGGGGCCTAAGACCAAGCCTGTTGTGCTCTGAAGAGACTGGCCACCGGTGGAGAACCTCGGCCACTGGTGGTTCTGGCTCCTGGTGATCGACATCCAATGGCAACCGGGCCACCATGTTCCATCATCAGTGATGGGTTTTGTGTGGCTCTTCCAACATGGATCCATTCGGACACATTGCAAAGACCAATGTTGAAGTCGCGTTCTGGATAGAAAGCTATCCATGCTCCATACCAGCAAGTTCTTGACTTATGACCATTTGTGCAGTGACCAAAACGAAAGGGGACTTCATGAACCTTTTCACACTTAGTGACAGCCGCAGCGTTCCGAGTCGCGGGATCAAAATTCAAACGCTTGGCAAGTGACTCGCATTTATGACACTTGCGTGATTCCCCTCTTGCGACTTTCCTACTAGCAAAGTCATATGGGGGGGAGGGGGAGCCAGCTTCACTTAAGGACTGCGTGACTAACTTAAAACTACGATTCGGTTAACAACTGTGGCAGGTTGTAAAATGGGACAAAAGTCACTTCACAACGGGCTTGCTTACCAGTGTAGATTTGGGGCTCTGTTGTTTATAGAATTTATTTATATAGAATTTATCAGCTGCCTCCATCTTACCGTCAGGGAACTCTGGGGCGGCTCACAGCTACATATATGGTGGCCGTTAAGTCGAGGACTCCCCCGTAGCTGCTACTTTGACCTTCTCTCTTGGCAATTCCCACCTACCCCATTTCTGAAGGAGGCACACCCCCACCTCCTCCTCCACCCTTGGGTCTCTTGAGCAGACCCTCCCCCTGGCCAGGGCAAGGCTTCTCCCCCCCTTGTGAGAGAGACAACACACACATACCCCCGCAATGACACACAACCAGAGCTTTTTCATATTAAACTTGTTTTTTTTTATTGAGGTGCATTAACAAATGGGTTGGATTAACAGGGCGGAGGGGAGGAGAAGTGGGGGGGGGGCACAGCTTGACCTGGGAACAGCAGAGGAGAGTAAATATGAACGAAGGAGACAGTTCAAAAGGGAGGGAAGGGGTTTCTAGTTGGTTTACCTCCCCCCCACACCACTTTCTCCCTCCCAAAGAAAGATTCCCTAACCTGAAAACAGCTTTTTGGGTGGTTTACCCAGCGCGACGAGGGGGAGGAGGGAGATGCTAACCCCATAGAATGAGGGAGGGTCTCGGAGGGAGAGGGAATGAAATCCAACATGATTGACAGGGACCAGAGTAACCCTGCCTATATACTCCGCTGGAGGGAGGGCAGGTCCCTGTCATTCCAGCCACCCCCCCACCCCTCCTGTCCCATTCTTGCAGACAAAAGGGGGCTCCAGCAAGGAGGAGGAGGGGGGGTTTAAGCAAGCTCAGCAACCAGAGTGGGAATTCCCCCCCCCCCCCAAAAAAAAAACCCACTTCGGGGCTTAACCTCCCAGCACAGAGAGAAGGGACCAAAACCTGTTGCAACCACCCAGCAGACAGGGGGGGGGGGGGGGGGGGGCAAACACAAAAAAAAAAATTGGCCCCCAACCCCCCCCCCCCCCCACATACATACGGCTGTCAACCCTCAAGAGAAACATTCATGGAGGAACAAAGACTTTTGATGGAGGGCCAGAGGAAAGGCATGGCAGCCCACTGGGGCGTTTGCTTAGCTGGGAGGGGGAGCAGAGGGATGAGAAAGGGGGTAGCTTTCACAGACACCCCCTCCCCAAATTCTGCCCTCTTTTCTCGAAAGGAGGATGAAAATGACAACGCGGGGGGTGGGGGGAGGAGGAAGAACCAAAAAGTCTCTCGCGATGGTTTTATCTTTTCTTTCCTTTCCTTCCTTCCTTCCTTCCTTCCTTCCTTTTCCTTTCCTTCCAGCAATTTAAATATTTCTCCTTTTTTTGTCTTTTTAAGTGCAAATTTTCTTTGCCAGGAACACACACACACACAAATAAATGGTTGTAGTGTGACTAAGCACCACGGAGGAAGAGGAGGAAGAGGAAGGGATGGGGGGAACAAAGCAGGGCAGAGGAAGGGGTCAAAACAAGGGGAAAAAATAATGATGGGTATGATGAGGATGACATCAGCATCTAGCTCTTGGGAGGGGGGGAATTGGGGAAGGGAGGGAGGGATTTTTATTTTATTTTCTTGCCTCAGTGTGTGTTCTTTTTTCCTTTTTTTTTTAAAGACCACAAAATAAAAAGCTTGGTTTTGTTTTGTTTTAATTCAAAAGGGAGGAACCGAGAGGATTCAAAGGGGGGGAGGGAAGGGGGAGTTGTTTGTTTCGTTTCAAAGGAAGGCAAAGAGAAGAAGAAGAAAGAGAAGACGACAAAGAAAAAAGAAAAAAAAACCAAGATTTTGAGTGGTTTGGAGCCCAATCTGACAGTCTTTTTGTGGGTTGCGATTCCTCTCTGGTTCATTACAATTTGTTGCGGCTGCGGCTGTTGCCTGCAGGGGAGGGGGGGAAAGGGGTGTTAAAAAGTCCCCCCAGGGGAGAAAAAAGGACCCCAAAGGCCATCACCACCCCCCTTCCCCCCCTTCCCCGTCCGTACCTGTGGTTCCTTTATTTAGCCATGGCTTTGATGGCGACAGCAGCTTCCTCAGTCATTGCAGACAGAACGGTGATCTGGAGGGGAGGGAGGAGGAGGAAGAGAGTAGGTTGGAAGGAGGAAAAACTGGGGGGGGGGGGGTGTCCCCCAAAAAGCAAGGACTTCCCTAACACACACACACAGAGACCTGGAGGGTTAGAAATCTTCCAGGGCTGGATTTTCTCTTTCTGCTCAATCGTGGCAGCGGGAAGGAGGATGGGTGGACTACAACTCTTAGAATCCCCCAGCCTACTGCCAGCTCCCCTCCCCATTGGAGGCTGGCTGGGGGAATTCTGGGAGTTGGAATCCACCCGCCTTCCAGCTGCCAAGGTTATTGATCGGCAGTTTTCTAAGGGAGGAGACCTTGGGAAGAAGAGTTTCTGGGCCGATTTTATGGCCTTTCTGGCCACCGTTCTTAATGGCATCGCAGCCATCATTAAGTGAGTCATGGGGTCGCTAAGGGAGACTGGCTGCCCTGTGGACTCTGCTTGTCGGAAGGCCGCAAAAGGGGGAAAATCTCACGTGACCAAGGCAACCGTCATAAATGCAAGTCGGTTCCCAGCGTCTGAATGTGCAGCACCATGGGGACGCCGCTATAGTCGTTAAGTGTGAACAATGTGTTAGGAATCTGTCCACCAATTAGTTGGGTTGGCAATATACAGTATATACCAACAATGTATGTTTGTAGCTTTAAGACAATGTTACTGTATTGATTTGTACTATGTTCCGATTGGTTGATTGTATTGTCAATTGCCATAAGAGGGAGCTAGAGATCATTGCTTGCTCTCTCTGACATTTTGTTCTCTCTGACATTCTGTATCTCTGACATTCTGTTGCTATCTCAGTTTGACTCTGAGACTGTTGTATTTATGCTGTGCTTATACTTTGATATTTTTGTTTACTGGATATGACAAAGGCAACCGGTAAGAAGACTGTAATTGGATATTCTTTGGACTGTAAAACATATATGACCTGGACCATTTATTGGACTGTGCTATTTCTTAAACTTTAACTCAATTCAGTGCAGCTGTGTGTGGCTGAATAATTATTCATAACTACTCTCATAAATGTTTCCATGTGCATATCCTTGTTACTCAAGGGTTATTCTGTACACATCATAACACAATGGTTGTAAGTCAAGACTTTCAGTGCTGCTGTAACTTTGGTCACTAAACAAACTATTGTAAGCCAAGGATTACCCATGCGTGTGTGTATTTTTATATAGCTAACCCTAACCCTGACACATATAAGCTGGATCCCCATGTTTCACTACGTGGCTTAGCTCAACTGTTCTGTCCTAAAGCTGCTTGGTGCTGCTGTGAAACTGAAACTCCTCTGCTTGTGTTTTGCATTTCTTTTTTTCAGGTGGGGAGGGGGAGTGGAACTCCTCAGCATCAGAGCATAACAACAATAACAATAACAATAACAATAATATAGGAAATACTCTAAATGGTTATTTGGAAAAATCCTTCCTTAGTGAGCCCCTAGAAGCCAAGAGGAACATAGGTGCCAAAGTTCCAAGTTTGTCGGCTTTACGGTTGTGGAGATTTTGTGATGATGCGTGAGGGGCATTTCGCATATATATATACATCGATATATAGATGGACAGATAGACATAGAGTGTGTGTGTGTGTATATACATATACATATACACATACACATACACATACACATACACACACACACACACACACACACACACA